TCAGCTTGACGCCAGCGCTGACGTCACCAGACTCGAGCTTCAGCCCGGGCAAGACTTGCCCTTGGGCTTCCTCGGGCTCGTGGGACCCACCATGAAACCGGGCTAAAGGCCCTGCGCTGGAGCCATCTCGGGCTCGCCAGGGTAGCCTTTCACCCAGTTTGGGTTGAGCGCTGGACTTGCTCTTAAAGTTGGAAGGAATCTCAAGTTCAAGTAGTCTTCCTCTCGTCAATAAACAGATAGGACTATTCCACAATAATTGATCGTTTTAGACAAAAGTAGGGACGAACTACAACAATTTTAAATTGAAACGGAAATATGTGTAATGTTCATTTCCATTTGTACAATAATTGATTGTCCTTAGACCTTCTGCACAATACATATCTTCATCTCATCTCCCTCAACAGCAGATGTAACAACTTCTTGGTTTGGTTGAGAATCGGATTCATCATCCTTACTTTTTTATCCCACAGAATGGTGTTGATTTCATATAAAGCTTTTGCAAACATTTCTCAACTGTTATTAGTTTTCGATTTCGAAAACAACAAACTCTTAATTATTCCCAGAATTTTAGTTTTCTCTGCATTAGTTCGTATGAAAACTTCTCCATCCTGAAATATATAATAAAATCAATGGATTAAGGTAATTGGTGGGACAAGATTTAACATAGCCACTGCATATGTTGCAGATGTTAAGACTAGGCTCTCAATATATAAATTTTGAGATAGTGAACCCCTGAAATTAAGAAATACTTTTTAACATAACTTAATTTGTATCACACTAATAATGATTGATTAAACAAAAAAATCATGATCAAAAGTTTAAATAATTTGCATAAAGACAAGAAGAAGAAAAATTATAGTTACCCAAATAGCCCGCAGAGAAAAGCTTGAAACAATACCATCCGTGTTAGTTTTGTTGTGCTGTCCCTGTAAATTGAGAATAATTATAATTATAATTGCAATCCGGTGAGAATAACTTATGAAATGACTACTATTTGAAGAAGACAATCTAGTCATCCTTCATTCAAATTATGTTTATACAATTCTACTAAACTACTCTTGCAGCATGTGCAGGGAAAAAAAAAACTTAAGGAGCCCGTTTGATAACCATTTCAATTTTATTTTTTAGTTTTCATTATTTGTGTTTGAGTATAGAGGAAAATGAGAATAAAGACCGGAGTGAGGATGAGATTGAAAGAGGGGATGAGAATGGAGGATAAGAGGGAAGAGTAACAAAAGTGAAAACAAATATTTCAAATAGATTTCAGGTTTTTTTTTCCTTTTCACTTTTGTGACTCCTCTCATCCTCCCCTCTCATCTTCCCCTTCATTCTCACTTCCATTCTCACTCTTTTACCTCTATACTCTACTTAAAAAAACGAAAACTAAAATCTATAACTATAACCTCTTCGGTTCAGAAATGATGTACAAGATCCATAATCTGAAGCATCTATTTGTAAAGTCTAAAAAAATCCCCCCTAAAGTAGTAAATTTTTTATCTTCCTTGGTGCTCTAACAAAATATTAACCTTTCAAATATAAGTGAGGGTGGAATCATAGCAGCAGCAGTGAAAATCAGCCGGTAGGCAACAAGAATGGTGAGATTCATGCCCTTTTGGGCCACTAGTTTATATAATACATTCATCCCAGTATATAAAATCTGCACCACCACCATTACCATCACTGACTTCATCTTCGACTTCATCTTTGCAATCAACAATCAACTTTTTGAGTTTTGATATCATTGAGAGAGGTAAGAAAAAATGGCTTTTGCTAGTGTTTAGGGTTTAGGGTTTGGATCTGCCAATACTTATAAAGCAAATGAAATTCTTTCCATGAAAAAAGAGTTGGTCATTTCCACTGTCTTTGCATTTATGATGGGAAAAACGTTTAAGGACATGGAATGACAACTATTTCAAATTGCTCTGAAATTCTAGCCTAATTAAAAGGTAGTCTAGTTTAGGGTTAAAAATGTGTCTTAATGTGTGTCAAAATGCATGTTGATGGTTTAGGGTGCAACCCGTTTGACCTAGTTCTGATGAGTTATGATATGACAAAAAAGACATGGTCTTTGCAAGCATATCACAAGCTGTCAATGACAACACGTGATCTCACGTGACACATGCAGATATGCTGGCTTTGGCAGCTTGAAAAGGAAGATCTATCATCTCCTTTCTAAACTTGATCCTCGAAAATGAAAGTTTTCGGTAATTGGCATTGTCACATTGGTTTCAATTTTGATGGTATAGTTCACCACAAATTATAAACTACTTCAAGATTTTTTCTTTGGTCAAAATAGTCACCACCACATCAAGATTTAAACACTTGAGTTCGTTTTTTTTAACAGTACAAACAATAATTTAAACTATAAGAGGGAGATGAGTTCTCACACACACTACCAAGGTATCATGGAGGTTTGAACGTGAGACAACGGACTTACAAATCAAGGTTCTTTTCAATTAGACTATACCCCGTTGGCTTTGAGTTCAGTCTTATGGCAAGTTAATTGTCATTGAGAGGGTATTAAATGGATATTTCTCCTCCAATATCGTTTGATAAAAAAAGGTTAGTGGCAGTTAAAATTTGTTATCTTTCTAATTACAAGTTATGATGCCAATTATTCATTTTGACTTGTGAGTTTTTTGTTTTGTTTTTTGTTTATATATATACAAGGGAGAGGAACTCGAATTCTAGTGCAAAGTGGAGAGCAAATCCACTATAATCAACTTGGCTAAGCTCATGTTTGCAATTGTAACTTGTGTTTAAAAGTATGATTTAGATAACATGATTAAAAACAACTCAATTACCATTAATTTAAAATGATTATTTTTGGTTGCTACATGATTAACCCTATAGAATATTTTTGGTCAATGTAGCACTGAAACTATATTAAAATGGCTACTACATCACTCACCGTTATTAATTATTACGTTTTCAAATTTCATCCACATTTTCGTCCAAAAATTACCACATTGACCTATTAATATAATTTTAAGTGCTAAATTGACAACAACAGTAAAAATCTAACCCGAAAATTAAGTTCGAATAGTTTAGGGAGGAAAACGACAGTCTACTGTACCATAAAAATTGAAATGAACAAAACGAAACCACACACATTGATAATTTTGATAGGTCCAGCATTGGAGGGTATGTCAAACTCAAGCTGCCCGCATCACAAGGCTCCAAACTCCTATCTAACCTCCCTTTCCCCACAACAATATATTCTCAACCTCTCATTGTTCCCTCCGCCCGAAACCCTCAAACCCGACCCGACCCAACAACCCAACATATTAACTAAGCTAGCTAACTAGCTACTAAAACCAACCCTCGGTCAATCTCTTCCTCTCAAAACTCGGAAAACTAGCAAAAATGGCAGCCTCTCTCACCATCTCCAGGCTCCTCGCAGCCCCCAAATCCCTCTCTCTCTCCACCGCAGCACCCAAATCTTCTCTCTTCTTACCCAAATCCTTTTCTTCAAAGCTCTCCTACACCCCTCTCCCTCTCAAACACTACGCCCACCCAAAACCCCTCCTCCGCTTCTCCACCACCGCCAAACCCGCCATCTCCGCCACCATCGCCGTCGGCGACAAGCTCCCAGAAGCCACCCTCTCATACCTCGACGCCGCCGGCGACGTCCAGACCGTCACTCTCTCCGAGCTCACCAAGTCCAAGAAGGCCGTCCTCTTCGCCGTCCCCGGCGCCTTCACCCCCACCTGCTCTCTGAAGCACGTCCCCGGGTTCGTGGAGAAGTCCGCCGAGCTCAAGGCCAAGGGGGTCGACACCATTGCCTGCATTGCGGTCAACGACGCCTTTGTGATCAAGGCCTGGAAGGAGAGCCTCAATATCGGGGATGAGGTGCTGCTGTTGTCTGATGGAAATGGGGATTTCACCAGGGCCATTGGGGCTGAGCTCGATTTGAGCGATAAGCCTGTGGGGCTGGGCGTGAGGTCCAGAAGGTACTCGCTTTTGGCTGAAGATGGAGTTGTGAAGGTCTTGAATTTGGAGGAAGGCGGTGCCTTCACTTCCAGTGGAGCTGAGGACATTCTCAAAGTGCTGTGATTTTGAGTTGTTAGGTCTGTAAGGTTTCTTTTTTGCTTTGCTCTCTCTTGGGTCTTGTTTCTGGGTTTATGAGTATAGGTATGGAGGAGTTCTGGTTTTGTCTTAATAAAATGGATGGGATGATGCAGTGCAGCCCAAGTAGGTTTTTTCTGAATTTCTGGCTATGGAAAAATGTTGGGTTTTGTTTCTCAGAGATGGGTTTTGTTTTTCATGAATTATTTTAGTTTCACTATTGACAAGAATTGAAAAGGCAAATTTATGTGATAAAAAGCAAACCACCACCAAAGGAATATTATTAACCAAAGAATGGCATAGAAAGTCTTGTAAATGCTTTGCATAGATGCGTTTTAATAATAAACAGAATATATACTAATAGATCATCCTTGATGGTTTTGATCCTCTGTGTTACAATGTCTTGATGCAAACAGTGACTGGTGTATATTAGCTGAAGGTAAGTCTTTGATCAACTCTGCTTCAAGTGTGATTCAAGCATACGTAGCAAGGCGAAGTCTGCATCTGCCACAACATAAGATGCAAATTAACTTAGCTTAGCTAAGGCATCAAGCAGGGTGGCAAGTAACAACCCAATATGAAACCATAAACGAAAACCTACTGAAATGAAACTACACGAGTTTCAGCTAGTGTTTAAACAAATTCTACCTTTCTTTGCAATTGAAGTTAGAATGTTGTTTTCAGAATGGTAATCCGAAAAATACGTAATTCTTGGCTTACATTCATGAGGATAAAAGAGATATGCAGTAGTGAAATTCACAATAGAGTTATACAGATAATATACCTTTTCGTTTGGAGAAAGATATGGGGCTCGAAGCTTTTTCGCATTGATAACTCTCTACCAGTCCTCAAACCCTCCCGCCTGCCAACATTTCTTCTTCAAGGATATCCCAGCAGAGATGTACAGCTACTGGTTTACAATAGCAATATTCTAAATGTCTATC